ATATATATATAATATATATATATATATATATATATAATGAACAAGTTTTATTAAGAGAAAACCTCTATCTTGAATATTGTTTTTGTAAGAAGACTTCGAAAAACATTTGACGTTTTACAATTTTCGAACAATAAGGGTTTTGAGGTGAGATTTGCACCATCCTCTTAAAATTCATGTACACTATTAATCGTCATTAGACAACAAAATGTAATAAAAATATGGAGGCATTTTTTTAAAATATGGAAAATGTCCTAGGAGCATCATATAAAGCACCCCTCTTCCAAATTAAAATATCGGTTTCAAATTGAAGGGGCCGCGACATCAGTCAGATCGTTTGAGGAATATCAATTTTGGAGAAACTCGAATGAACTGTTTAGCCGCTGCCGTTGTTCACAGACGAACAGACGGACAGACACACGGATAGAAGGACAGACGGACAGACGGACAGACGGACAGACGGACAGACGGACAGACGGACAGACGGACAGACGGACGGACAGACGGACGGACAGACGGACGGACAGGCAGACAGACAGACGGACAGAAAGACAGATGGACGGACGGACAGACAAACGTTTGGCCATCATTCTATTTTTCTCGGTTTTAACGAACCACTAAACATGGATTCTGACTAGACCACGTGATAGAGTATTTTTTTTTAATTTAGCAACCGCATTTATCCCTTTTCCGTTCCCAAGGCCCTATAATTAGAGTGTTTCTGGCGTAAATTGGCCGTTTTTCCATTGAGCATTACCTAACTTTCTGTCTGCTCCGTAGCGGGAGAGGGAAGCATTCGTAGCGCGCAGGCGCTCGCGGCGGGGGCCGACACCTCACCCGGCGCCCGCGAGCCTTAATCCGCGCACATCCTATTACGCGGGAGTGCGCGCCTCGTGAAACATGCACGTCGCCTCGCGCGCGCCCGGAAACGAGTAAATCTTTTAGCGGCTCATTCAGCCCCCGCTCACCCGGGCTCCACACCGCGCCCTCACACTCACACCTAACCAGCGCCCCCCACTCCCCGCGCCCCCACACTCCCGAGCCGCTTGTCGGCGGGGGTTGCTCAGGCGACGGCGCATCGGGGTGCGAGAAGTAGCGGTCCTTTCGTCCTAAAAGCAGCGATTTGTAACTTTTCCTCACCTTATTTGTAAAAGGTTTTTGAATTCCTTGACGCTAACGAAAACTGCATCTTGCACATTCTTTATCTACAGCCTCAGATACCGAAATGTATGCAGTATTAAAAGAAGGAAACTAGTCAATCTTTTAGCGGCTCATTCAGAATGTCTTAGCCACTCGCTTTCAGGGACGCTTGCAATCCCTCCTTAGAGTCTCATGCGTTGCCACTTCTCATCTTGGTCAGTGGTGGGCATATTGGCATGCGGGGAATGCTGATTCTTTTTTTGGCGTTCGAACAAATCCTAAATACTTTTTAAATCGGTTGATAAAATATATCTAGATATCTCAAACCTAAAAAGTTTCTTTTTGTATGTCCTTTTTTGTATTAAAAACTATGTAACACTTTCGTAGCCGTTAATCAGCCATGGTTAATAACCGCCTTTAATTACGTACATTTATGTATACCGTATTAGGTAGCCAGTGTGATTATTTAAAAACTTTGTTCTAAGAAAATTTAAATTAATGAGTGTTAATTTGAGGAGGAGACGCTATCAAAAATATAGCAATGGTGAACTTAGCCTCAAGACAGCCCCGACAATACCTGTAGATATCTCGGTCTGTTCACCACAAATTCCATATGACCGATGGAAGAACCAGAGCAACAGCAGTGGGAAGCCCAAGCGCTAGCCATTACACCAAGGCCCCCTCCCCAAAAATCACCTTTTGAATTCGGTTTTTGTCGCTGTCTGCGTTATTCGGCAGCACGTAACTTGAGCGGGTGTTACTGTTACGTGAGTTTGGGAATTCCTACCTGCAGGGTGCATGGAATTTGGTCGCACGCAAATGTCAAGCTGGTAATTACGTGACTGTTAGCTAAACCGGATGTAAGCAGATGCGCCTATGCAGTCATCTACACAAAACAGAAACTCCTTCACCTCAGTTCTGGGAATTGAATTAATGGCAGCTGAAGTGCTGTTTGAAATCCGCAGAGAGTCAAAGAATACAAACACTGCACCTGCAATGAAGTCAGTGAACACTTATGCTATTCCATTCATTTAAATTTTAATTTCGTCCCAAAATTAACTCCAGTCCCACTCAACTACAGTCCCTTAACTTTATTGTCAATCCGATTAATTAAGTCATAAAGATTCATCTTAATCCTGGAAAGTGTATTGTGATTCACAGCGTTTTCGCAATGTTCTCATAGATGCATTGAAAGAAAACACGTTAATTTTTCTAGAATCCATCCTCAAAATCCTGTATAGAACCGGCTAAGAATTATGCCTATCAACTTGTCTTGTGGGGAAGACACAAATGCATTCTTTACTTTGGGGCTACCAAATACTGTTTTTAAAGAAATGTCTTATATTCTTGTGGATGGAGCCACAAAAATTGATCAGTTTCCTTCTAGGCAACAGAAATGCGTTGATTAACATCTTATTTGTCTCGGATGATTGGCCGGAAGTGGTTTAGCTGGGAATTATGAATGAACGGCCGGACACACACATGCAGGTTACTCGAAAAATAAGGATGTAAATGCAATTGTTTTTGAAATGATGTCGGGGAAGTATTTAATCTTAAATCGCTAAAATATGGTTAACATATATTAATGAAACGAATGATTTATTATCATTAATCAATGGTAATCGGGTCAGGAATGTAACTGTCATGAAGAGATTGTGTTTGTTCGGTCAGACAGCGGATAGATATGATTGAGACGTCGCATCGGTAACTTGGCGTGTGTAATCGGTCTCAAAAAGCTATTAATACAAGCGAACGCTGCAGGGCCATATTTAAGAATGCATAGCAATCCAGCCCATATCGAGAATAGAGAATGGACATTATCAATATCCCGGTCATTAGAAACAACAATAACATTATATGCCCCACCTTCCACCTCTCAAACGCCACGATTTCATCCCTATCCGCTCAATCTAGGCCGGCACTTCCTGCTCGCTGTCGGCGCCTCACGCACAACCTAGCGCCTCGCCACGCCGTCTAGCAGATCAGAGTACGGGATGCGCGAGGCCAGAGCAAAAATTCCCTTAATCGGATTTCGGCGCGCTTTGGCGCCCCCCGTGGATTAGCCCACCAAATAACCGTAAGCCGCAATAAACCCGCCTGCAGCTTACATCGCCACTCCTCCCCCGCTCGGCAGCGCCACAATCGCCTCTCTCCCACCACGCTTCCGCCCCGCTCTCTGGCTCGCCACACGGCTCCCACCCGCCTCTCCCCGCTCCCGCCCCTCTTCCGACCCGCTCCCACCCAATTCATATCTTCACTTCTCGCCTGTTCTCGGCAGCCCGCCTCACCACCCCCGCCACGCTCTCATTTTCCACTCCATCCCTCTCGTCCTCGCTCTAATCCGGTCCCTCCCATCATGCCTCCGCTCCCACCCCGCTCCTCCTCCCCGTCCACGCCTCGGACCACTCGCTTCGCAAGCTGCGCCCCCCCCCGCCATTGCAACGACCCGCTCCCGTCATCCTCGAGCCATAGGCGACCTCCCCCCCACCACCCACCACCACCACACGCACGAGAGGCTACCTGTTGCACCCGCCTCACCCTACGTCCTGCCGTAGTGCGTACATCGATGCCACGTCTTCCCCACCACATCGCCCACTGCCCCGCCCTGCATCAACCCCGCTCCCCCGCTCCCCGACTCCTCCCGCAAGCTGCAGTTGCCGCTGCCGCTGTATTTGCCTCGCGCTGAACTGAATAATTGGCAACGTTGCCTCTGCGAGCGAGACCGTACGCATTGGAATATTTACTTGTTGCAGTTATTCTATTTGTTCACGCAATAGCTCCCTACCATTTTCGAGCTGTTTTTCTAGCAGCCGTATGCAATTGTATTTGCTTCATTTTGCATTGCTCTGAATAATTTCTATTGTTTATACTTTCATTATACTTTTTGTTTTGTTTTATCCCATAATGGTGTTTTTTTTATCCGAAATAAACTTCCATCTGTTGTGGATATGGACATAGAAAAACTGGGGAAGTTGCATATAGGAGTAGATGGTGCGACGTACCATTTATGTTCTAAGCTGAGCATTGTTCTGACAATTTCTTATACAACAGAATATTCATTGTAAATAAAATATTTGATAGTTTCTTTCAAAAAAGTAGTCAGCATTTCCTTGAAAAATACGTAATGTAAATGTAAACCGAAATAATGCGAAAATTAGTTTCTCTTCTTTAAGATATAAAGGAACACATTTATCTAGTTAAATTGAATATATGGGTCAACATTTTGGCAATACTACGAGAGATTTTGGAAAACTAGTCATTAAAATCCTGTATCCTTATGAAGGATGCAATAAAAAGAATGAATTTACATTTTACATTCACTTGCACATAATTCATTTCTTGATATTTCAGGTCACATTTAATAATACTCTTAGTGATACGTAGTCTAATTTGCTTCGTTCTTTAAAGTCAATTATCTTTACCATGTATGAATTTATAAGAAAAGATATAAAATTCATGTAATGTTATCACAGGCAATAATATTCACATTCATGCGACCGCAACTCGAATATTCCAACCTCAAAACCCCGATAGAATGTAATATCTGTTGACAGCTTTTACGATCGAAATGTCAGAGAGCATTACGTAGAGGTACGCTGACTCATAAATCTGGTTATTTATTGCAGAACATACGTGCACGTTTTGACGAGAATGGAATGTCAAACAACAAAATTGCTCGCGTACAAATGCGAAAAAATAATTTCATTTAAAAAAATTAAATATTACCAACAATATTACAAGTGATTATTTTGCCTACAATGGATTGATTCATTTATTAATTTACAATGACTTTATGCCATACGTAGCTACATGGAGTATGAAATAATAGTAAGTACACCAATAGTTTATCGAAATGTCTACCTCTTAAAACACGTAAATCTTCTTCTTTATGTTTAGTATCCATATTTTAGACGTTACTTTAGACATTAACTTACTGTCTTCCTGTCCAACTGTGACCTATTGATCTGAGACAGTAATGAAAACAGTTGATGGAAATGGCAAACTTCAGTTTGTTAAATATCTTAAACCAATTATTAATTGAGATATTGCTATCCTTTACTCTATGTATAAAAACGTCCAACACCATAAACTAAATCAAAAAAACGTTTAACGTCATGCAATCCGACATGCGCCTTGTATATCTCCGAATTTCCGGGGAGCGAATCCTCGTAGCCAGTGGCGAGGGCGCCTCCATCGCGATCGACGAGTGAGTTGGCGGAGGGCGGCAGAGGCCTTCCAGACGGGCCAGGCGCCAGGGAGACAACATGGCGCCTTCTCTGCGAGTAGTAGGAGCTCTGCTGACAACGCTGGTTCTGCAGGTAGGGATCGCGATTTAAAACTACAAATGTTCCATTAGAATACTTCAAAAAGTCACTAAATAAATTAAAATATTTTCATAAAACTATTTTATATTTTTTATTTAACTGAGTAATCCAAATCTGAATTTAAGCCTAGGAGTAAATCAAACTTAAGTTGTAGTTATTTTGTAATTTTTACGATAATTACATGTTCAGTTACATTTCCATTAAACGATTAATAGTTTAATAAATATTACATGTATCAGATCGTCACTTGTATTTTGAAATAGAATCTCAATAGTTTTGTTTGAAAATATGAAACATGAAAAGTTTATTTCTAATTTGATTGTGTCAGTTTTCCTTTCTGTAAAATTCTACAAGGAAAATACCATAATGAACTTAAATTAATTTTTAAAAGTTTTACAAAAATCAGCCATTTCATTTGTCCAAGAAAATGAAAATATTGTAACATCTTACGGGTCGAGGTAGGAACTCCTAGTTTTAGATCTGTTAAATTCATCAACATTGCGATGTACTGAAAGATATGGAGAGGAATATTTTGCATAATGTGTAAAATACACGATAATTCGATTTAGCAGATTTCACATGTGTGTCGACACTTCCCCACAAGGCAAATAAGAACCAAAATTATTTAACATACATGTGATACAGCAGACAAGTAACCAATGTTCCCAATTTGAGTTGCAAGTGGTAAGAAGGGAACCAATAGGTCCTGTCATTGAAGGTTGTTCTGTATGTTAATAACACAAATAATGATAATCGAAATTCGTGGCTTTCCAAGAGCATAAAGTACATAAAAATGTTCGCAAGGATGAATCTGATTTCTTAAAAGACGCGTCAGTATCGTCACAGCAGCGCCTCTGATCAGGTCCTAGGATTCGAGCCCCGATAGTGGCAGGATTTTCGACACTAGCTAGATAACTAAGACATATTCAGATGGTGACTGGAGGAGAATTTTATGGATAGGTCTCTTTTCACGGGGATTGCGTTCCACGCTCCTCGCTGCTGCTGCTACTCTCTTGGTGCAGTTATGTATGTCCTGATCGTGTTGTGTGTTATCCTGTGGTGTTTATATAGTGTATAGTGAATCAGATTACTATTTTGCTACGATTAGCTTAATAAGAAATGTCCGTTCACGATGAGTAAACATCGTAAAAGGAAAATTATAGCAATACTTGGAATTAGTGCTACAAAACTATACCAAGGAAATGGAGAAGAAAAAACGCTTTGGATAAAACGTTACAGACAAAAATATGATCACATGCCCTTGTTGAACGAATTAAAGGCGAACTATCCTGTAGACGTCCCATACTTCTCATTTTTTAAATTTTTATTAGTACACACAGAATTTTAAAGCTTCCATTGACTAGGGCACTCCCTATATATGGAAAGAAACTCCTTCACCATATTCAGTCTCCAGCAACGACTATCCGCCATTTCAAAATACCGCTCGGCTGGTCACTATGTCCACTCGCAACAAAACTCCGCGTGTAAATGCGAGCCACGCATTTGCTCGCAGCGTTCCGAACCGCGCTCACGAGCAAACCGAACTCCCCTTTGGACGAGCGTTCTGAAAAGTGTACTTGAGTGGCTCGCTGACAGGAGCGCGTTCAAGAACGATGGTGTGAGACAGCCTAATCGAACGGCTTCGCTCTCATGCCTAGCTGGAGGCGAAAACGCTGCCCTTGGAGAGCAACGCCGGCCCCGCAGATGGCTGCGCGACAGCTGCGCGCGGGAACAAGCCGACGCCGGCGCCCCTGCCCGCTGCCGGAAGTGACGGTGGGTCAGCGCGCTGCGCCCAACGCCTGTCTTTCCCTGCGTCCGCAATCCTCCAATAGGGGGGTTCATTTGTTTTTATTTATTCGTCGTCAAAAAACATTACAAAACTGCATGTATATAATTTGGCACGTTTCCTTGAGTTCCAGAATCCTTGCCTCTTTCTTATACTACACTTGGTGGAAGATAATACCAACAAGCATGTTGACAACTTTTGAGAACTAAAAATTTTACCTTCCAAGTAATTAGAAGCATATTTGCATCGTCAAAATTCCTACAGACCTTTCCCATAGAATTCCTAATATCATAAGGACCTACACACATCGCACCGCTACTAGCAAAAGGTAAGTTGAAGAAAACGTAAGCATAGTGAATGGACGTGTTTGTTCAGAAGAGAAGAAGGGGACATTTCACCTTTCACTCAACGGATCAACAGCAGCAATGCTTAAAACCTGATGGTGGGAGAAACTGATCCAGAAGCAGAAGTACCATTCTTCTTGCTGTCGTAGAGTTATACGCCACTTCCTTGCGTGTAGCTCAAATTTTCCTCGACGAGAGCCGATCGCGCGAGCATCTCCCCTCTCCTCTGGAGGACTGACTGGCCGGCCGAGGGCCTCTCAGATGGACCGCAGTCAGGTGCTGGGAAAGCGCAGGCTTTCGCTTCAACAATAATGACAACCCTCAGAGGAACATCTAATTGTATTCTAATCATTAATAGTTAAGACGAATGTCCGTCTGATATGTAATATAAATAGGTAAATCATATTCGGTTGTGTTGATAATTGTTTGAAATTAATTATGGGAAAATATTTATATACGTTATATACTTTTAATTGCATTGTTTCTATATTTTGTTCTTTAGTAACATTTAATGTGTTGCAATGCAATTTATAAGATTTAATATAGCCAAACGTAATATAGCCGTCTCACAGACGGATATTTCTCGTAATAAGGTTAAATTCCAGAACGACATTTTCAAAATGCCATAGTTCATTAAATATTTCACAGAATATATCTATATTTTTTATATTACAAAATATAAGCTCTAGTCAATCTTATGATACATTCCAACCGTTAATAACATGCAATATATATTAGAAGGAAATCAATCTGTTGAACAGGGAACACTTACTAACGCTACAAATAATAACCGTCTGTGGGACAGAAAAAAATATTTACGACAGTAGCAACAAACAATTAAAGAAATTCACGATGGGATCGAGAAGAAGAGAAGATTTTGACGGAGACTCAGAAGAGTATCTCTCGTTATTGCTATATTGGAGTCCTATCGAAGATGGGAAACTTCTTCTCCTGAGAGATAGATATTCCTTTCTAAGTGTTAAAGTACTTTCGCATTCGTCTAGAATAAATTGATGAAAAAAAGAATCAAACAATCAGAGCAGCTGACATTTATAATCCTGTATCAAGCTGTAGATTTGTCACACTTTATTGTATAACTAGTGTCGAATATCTAACACCTTCAAGATTCCAAACTATGATCTCCCGATTTTCAGAGTTTAAAATGTGTTATTTCCTATGACCTTATCAATTTTGGCAATGTGATAAAATATGTTATAAAACCATAGTACTTAGAAGGGTGAGAAGTGTCTCATTAGAGCCTTAATTATCTCAACATCTTGAAAAATTAACAAAATGGAAACTTTCTTTTTAAAACTGATAATTTTGTACATTTTTCTGTCTATATTTCACCACTGTGACATTAAACAGCAATGTTTCTCAGTTGTTATTTATTGAATGTAAAATACTTAGTAATCTAGTACAGTGTAATTCAAAGGTAGAAAAAACATGGTTTTACTTGAAATGTGTAATCCAATATACGGCTCATCTAGGAAAACAGTTTAAAGAAATTGGAAATCTAATATAAAATCGAACTAATATAACACTACCTGTGATAATTATTATAGGACAGAATATTTAAACATTATGTATGAATCTTAAATAACTCATATATTTGAATGAGAAGAAAATTTGTTTTAAGTCTGGTGTCACTATCTCTGTTGCCAACAGCTCTGTTTGATGAAATGAATCTTAGCCTGATAGAAGTCTCATATATAATATATAACCGTCATTTATAATAGATAACCGCATTACTGTGAGAAATAATCTGTGATTGTAATTGCCTCATGTTGTTCACTGTTATGAATTGGTATGATTTAAAATACACGTGAAAGAATTTATCTGCTTAGCGTGAAAGATACTCGCTTTATTGACAGAACACGGATGTTAACTCATTGGGGCAATATGAACTGAAGTACTATAGATGGAAAAGCAAAAATTATTTTCAATAGGCAACTCAATAGAAAAGCCGACTTTTCTGATAAAATCCAGTAGGAATTGTAATCCATTGGTCTGATAACTGTGAATCATTCTGTTAAAATGTCTTTAATACTCCCTGCTTCCTGGTGCGAATATTTCATGATAACTAAACAGATACATTCAAACTTTCTACTCTACTTGACGCTATTTATATTTAAAGTTATGAAGATAATTTTTAGAAGACTAAAAAAATTAATAATTGGAGTTTATGTTTTTAAATTAGTTCTTTAATTGCTAAACTTACGTGTATAACATACACGTATGTTTGGAAACGTATATTTTGTTATTCATATTAAATGGTTTTGAGTTTACTGTGCTTTTCGTCCTTCAATAAGTATCCTCCAGCGATAAAACATGTACTACATATGTGGGACTAATGACCTTAGCAGTTGACGCGCCCAGAAACACAAATAAATCAATCAATCGTGAATAAACAATGCCTTTTTGTTACCCAGCGGAAGCTGCTGTCAAGAATAACGCGTCGGAAGGTGTGGCCGTGCGCTTCGCATCATTTGATGAAGATGAAGCTAATTTCGCTGACGCGAAAGCCCCGACCGAACCTCCGAGTGCGCTCGAACACTTCTCGTTGGAAGACCACCCGAACATCACTTTCGCTGACGGTGAATTGGATATTTCTAACGTCCTTTCAAGGCGGAATGGGTAAAGTATCAACGACTATATTCCTTGAGATCACAAATCACATTACGTATAGTTGTTTCTCAATATTTTATAATGCTTATTCATTTTAATTGTAATATTATTCCTCGATGCAGTATTCGCTTTTACTCGTAGGTGTACACTGGTAGTCAGTTCATAGAGAACAGGTGTCCTTCTCATTCTATCATTTGGATATTTTCATAAATCTACAACTATAAGTAATTCTTTCTTGACTATCCGATGATCTTATTGGAATTTGTTCTTCCGTATTAGGAAAATTAACGTAAATTAATCCATCAACCGTAACAAAGGTGGATGATTGCACATTGGTACGTTTTTATAAAAGACACATGTAAAGAACTTTCGGCATGAAGTTTCGACATATGGGTGGAAACAATTATCAAAGTATGGTCATGTAATAGCATCTCATCTTATTTGGGTTGGGGACACTGCCGTCCGTTATTGAAATGGGTTTAGAAAATGAAAAAAATATCAACACTTAGTGTTTTGAAAGGAATTTGAGATTCGTTCTGGGGTTCTAAGACACAGTAGAAATATGTTTTGTTATTTGTTTTACAAAAATTGTTTTCATTAGGTACTGAGAATTTTTTTCTGATAGTACAATTTTTTCATGTTTCTCAATCACACAAAGTAGTTTTAAGTTGATGAATTTAAATTAAAAATTAAAATAAAAAATACAGGTGTTTGGCTATGAGGGTGTGAGTGGTGTGGCGGGAGACAAGAATCCTTTCAAAAATCATATTTATTTTTTATTTATTCGTTGTAACTTGTTATTGCCTTTGATACGGAGTTCGATATACGCTCCATAACTTACATGAATCTAGAGAATCGTGGTTACAAGTGAAATATGAAAACAGTTGAATGGTGCTACATGTTTCCTTACAGAGGGAATTATGAAAGGGAATAATGGGAGGAAAATATGAAAGACAAACCGAGTCAAGTTAACATTTAATTAATTAGTAAATAGGTAAATATGAATCAATAACAATAGATAAAAAATAAAATCATGTATGTACCACGGGCGACAACTGTTTCTAATGACCTCGAGCCAAAGGCCTCCGTGCGTTTTCTACTCGATCATTGGAACCGTTGTAACGCCCTCGGTGCATAAATAACCATTTTAAGCTAGAACTATAATGAAACTACTCATATATGTATGTCGTTTAGGTTTAGAAAACTTTTTACTATGTTATCCGGGGGTTTCATTTGTGTCCCACTTATGTGCCGCACAAAAGTGTCGCAACTTTTGTTCTGGGATGCGGTTTCCTTCAATGGGTATGATGGATAGATGGGGGATGCGGGAATACTTTCCAAAATCGACTACTGGCGAAACAGTATTGTCATGAAGCGACTGAGTTGTTATTTCGGAGCTACTTGTCGCGTGTCAATAGGAAAGTTTTGAACAGCTAGTCATTTAGCTGTGTTGTTTTCTCACCAGCGTCTAAAGGTTTACGAGTAAAAGTCAAAAATAAGAACACTATACTCCGATTTAAACACAGTGCCATTTCAAGGTTACGAGTTGGACGGAGAGGGGGAAATGGCATCCAATCGGGAACGTCCTTGCGACTTCAGTTTGTATTGGATGACAATATCCTCCTCTCCTTCCAGCCCGTGACTTCGGAGTGCTAATGTATTTTAAACGGAGT